AAGGTACTATACAAGAAGATATGTCAAAGAAATAATCAATCCTCCCAAGTTTCCTTCATATGCTACATCTATAGCTTTTCTTCTTCCTTCCTAATTACAAACCTTAAATAGAATTCGTGCCTCATATCGAATTTACCGAGTATCATAATTCCTCCAGGTGGTAAAGATACCTCGAGACAAGTGCTGGGCATAGAAGCCACAGGGCATAAATCTGCAAAGAAGTAAAAAGCTAACCTTTGCAAACAATATGGCTTCTCTCTCACTTACCAACTTTACATTTCCCTGTATGGCCCCGGAAGATGACTGGTTAGCCAGAGACGGGTAAGATTCCTCAAGGGAGGAACAACCTAAGACAGGCACAGTCGCAGGGGGGCCATCAGGTGAGAATTTGGGGATCAACAGAGGTGAGGCTCAGAACCTCACCCCCCCTGCTTTGAGAGAAATCTTCTGCATCCGTGGATGTCTTGCTGCCCTTGTCTAGCCTGGATTAATACTTAGTCCATAGGCACACACCTGATCATCTGATCATCTACATTTGCCTTCTTACAGCACTAAACTATGTTTTCTACCTTTATCTTGCATCTACCTACCACTTCAGCATTTTATTAAAAATAAAAATAATAATAATAATAGGAGAAATGTGGGATCAACATATAAATCAAGTACAAAAATCAAATGAATATTCATATTTGACCTGATGGTTTATAGGTCATATTGCATGATCAAAACCGAAAGTTTCTGTGATGAATGCCCTTGTACTGTTCACCATGTAAGAATTTATTCACTATGTAAGAATTCGTTCACCATGTAAGAACTTGTTCGTTATGCTTCAGAAGATTGGAGACTGATGAGAATTAGGCTTGAGATGGATTAATGATTGTGCATTGAGCATTGACCCCCCCTATACAGAATTTTATTGTTGTTAACAATCATTTGATCAATAAATATGAGAGATGCCCTGTCAAAAAATAAAAAAATAAAAATGTCTGTGTCCAGAAGTATAACTCCAAGTTTATCTTAAATTTAACTAAAAATCATTAAATTCCAAAGTCCTTGCTGTAAACATGAAAAAACAAAACAAAAACACCACCTCTTATCAAAACCTTGATTAAACTCTGGATGAACTAGTTCAATGCCATTTTCTTTTCTTTTTTTACTTAAATTTTACATCATCTTTACTTCGGTTATGTGCTGTGTTGACATCTCTTAGTTATAGACACACCATGTCACCTTACATAGAATAACAGCATTTACTCTGCCATGATTCCTTAGTGGTGTGTTCACACAATCACGAATACAGAAGAGCACCACGGCTAAATTATCCCTGTCCTCCGGGAACACTCTCCTATCACGCCCAGAGTCTAAAGATAAACTGCACCCAAATGGCTTTGCGGGGCGCCAGCGTCTAAGAGCGCCTGGGACCTCGGGTGCCGCGCAATTGCCAGCGGGACCGGCAGGGGGCGCGGGAGGGTCACTCAAGCACCCTGCCATGCCCAGAAACCAAGCTCCTCTCTGATGGCTCTGGGCCCGAAGGCTCAGGCCACCGAGGCCACGGCGAGCTGTCCTGCTGGATCTTCGGAGTCCGGGGCTCCCTGAAGATGGGCTAAGGCTGCCCTCGGCCAGGACCGATCTCCAAGGCCGCAGGTGGGCCCACGGGGCCTCAGGGAATAGGTGTAGTCGACCGGCCAAGGGTTGCAGTGTGATCATAATATGGTGACACCGAGCGCTGGAAGCAATGTTCTCCACAGCCTCTCGGGGCTACCTGCCTTGGGTCCTCAATCGGGATAACCTGCCTTCGGTCCTCAAGCCGGGCATACCCTGTCCCAGTAGGCCCTTCTCTAGCAGCAAAAGGGACCTTGCTGCTCTGGGAGTAGTGGAGGGATTCCTGGTGTGGTGGGGGTGGCTGGGGACTTAGGCCGAGCGACAGGAGGGGCTGGGGAATCCAACTGCTTCCCTCACCTGGTGCCTTATTGGTGTGATGTCCGTAAGAGGAGGGAATCAGAATCCCAGAGGATCCAAAGGCCATGCTGACAAGGTGGAATGCTATGGGGAAAACCTTAAAAGCCCTACACATAGTAACAAAAGTCAGCTCTACAGGGACATGGTGATGGAGATGTATCTCCATAGCAACACACTTTAAGGGCTTTCATTTCTGTTGAAAACCGAAAAAGAAAACTGCATACCTGTGTGAGTGAGTGTAGGCCCGGGGATAGGAAATCCCGGGGCAAAATACCCCTCAAAACTAAACTCCGTCAAAGGGAGAAATAAAGTTTAAAACTCTATTGCTCACTAACTGCAGTCCGGCCATCTTTTTTCTCTTGCTCAAGCAGCCACAACACCGGCCCTACCCCTCACCTCTCAAGTACAGATAAGCCCTCTGTTGCCCAGGTAGTCACCCATTGATATGGAGATGAAATTCTCCACCCCTGAGGAAAAATGCAAATGCACTAAAGCCAAACATACTTCTTTCCACCTCTTAATGCCTATTGATATGCAGATATACTAAAGCCAGGCGAGATATTCTGGAAATGCTACAATTTTACCCACAGTGAGACTTTCAGTCATTAATATCTTAGACTCACTCTTGAAGCCAAGGAGGTGGCAGACCCTCCATCCTAGGTGGGTCCTGCACTATAGGAAAGGCAGAGGCCTGGGGGCCACTCTGGTGACTGGTGACCTCTGGCTCAGATGGTGGAGTACCAGAGATGTCACATGTAAACACTTTGGGTCAGCAGCAGTTGGAGGCCAAAACTCAAGACAAGGCCAAAAGGGCTTTTCATTATCCTGACCCTTCTGAGATGGTTTTTGGTGAACCTGGTCCAGGTGCTGGATGTGCTGGGTGCCTGGCCCATGAGGGGGTGAGGAATGAGGCTACCCCAGTGGATAGGGAGGGGAAGGAGACAGGCCCTTGCGAAGTCAGGCTGTGCCCCTATCTCACTGGCCTTCTGACCCTGGTGGGTTGGTATGAGCACCATTTGCCCTGAGCTGTTCATGGCCTTACAGCCTCCTTCTCCCCCAAGACTGATGGGGAATTAACTGACCAATACTGCTGCTTTTCTATGTTGAACTTGCCAGGTACACCTGCGATCTGCCCTATGGCTAGTGGCTGAGTGGGAGCTGGGGAACAAAGATCAGGCCCTTTGCCTGTGTGGGAGGTGGGGCCTCCTCTCCCCAGCTTGGGAGATTTCATTGGTGGGTTTGAGAAGCCTCCAGGGGAGAAACTGTCAAAGCCCCAATTACTTCCTGCATAGATGTATCAGATCATTCTGCTGAACAGAGGAGCATGACCAGTGAACAATAAAACTGTCTTTTGGAACCATGCTGCACCTACCACCTGCGTGAGAGCTCCCTTTCTTCTCACATAAAAATCCTTATAACCGGCTATCTAGGGGCATGCGTACACACACTGGTGACAGTGCCCTCCAGAGTTTCTGGCATGTGGTGGTGACGGCTTTGCTTGGTGCCCAGGCCCTCTGCGTTGGCTCCTGCTTTACTGTCACCTCCTGTCCTCCTGAGTGACACCATGCCCTCCCCAGCCATGCAGCCCCACGATCAATGTTCCGCTCCTCCTGGAACGCCTGTCATTCCAACCCCATCACCTCCCTGCTTTGACGCAGCATCACCTCCTCCGGGAAGCCTGGCCCACCGCTCTGGAGCCTGTGTGGGTCTGGTCTTCCTTTCCCACCTTCTGATTCCCTCTTGCTCGACCTTCAGGTTCAGTTCCTTTGGTCCCCCTCTCTTCCTTGCCTGCCCCTGCTTCCCAGGCTCTGTGGGCACCTGGCACCTGCCTGCTTGCTTTGCAGCCTGCTGGTGGGATCTCCTGCAGTAATCCTCTTACTTCCGTACAGTGGGTCCTCATCTTTCATTCTGGCCATCCTTCCCTCTTTTGCTATTTGTTCTGAATCAATTGTGGGGCCGCTGATGATGTATGGTGCCTGAGGGGGCAGGCCCAGACTAACGCCAGTAAGCCATGTGGCTCATCTGTGTTTCTGATGACTCTGGTATGGGCACTCAGCTGACACCATACCTAACTAACTACATGGACATCTAGATTTGTCTCCTGTGTCCTTTTGGGGGGCTCCTATGAAGTGAGGGAGCTGCCCCAGGTCTTTGCAAGTGGGAAGGGAAGCCTGGCTAGGCTGGGGCAGAGGAGGGGCTCTGCAGCAGCCAAGTGAGCTGCCCTTGCCCTTGGGTCCCCATCTGGCCCCTGCAGCCCACCTGCTCTTCTGGTATGTCTGTTTGATGCAACTGTATGTGCACACACTACTTCTTTTCCCCTCCTGACCTTGGGAAGAGCACAGTTGAACTCATTTTGCTGAGAGGTGCAGAGAGGTTCTCTGAGTAACTCAGGTTCATCCAGTGGGTAAGTTGTGGCCCTGCATAGGCCCTGCACTTCCTATCACCCTCTGGGGACCCAAAGTATTGGTTCATAGGGCCTGGTGCTTCTGGAAATCATCCAAGCTTTGAGGCCACGGGTTTGGTCCTTTGCTTATGCTTTAGAAAATTTGTCCATGCCTCCATGGAAGAAAGCACAATGATGAAAGTGTGTGGCATTGATTTAATGTTGTTAGTACTGAGGAAAGCTAGGGAAGGCCATATTTGAGATTGCCTGAAGTCCTGGGTGCAGAATAATTATCAAACTGATTGTAAATGGTTTTAATAAATCAGGCAGTCTGTCCAAGCTGTGGTGTCATCTGACTAAATATTTCTAGTTTTTTCCAATAGCTGACCCATCCCACTTAGCTATGAATGATACCATGGTCTTTTTACTCAAAAATTTAATTGCAAAAAATACATCACCCGACATTTCACAGCTCTTGATACTGTCACACACTGTGCCGTGACATCTTCACAACAGCCCTGGGTTGGGGCTGGTCAGGTCCCATGTTACACATTTCACCAAAGGCCAGCAGAAGTGAAGTAACTTCTTCAAGGTTATACAGCTACTTAACATGAACTTGGAACCAGAGTCCATGTTTCCTGACTCCCAACCTGTTTGGATAGTGAAATTTAGTGATCTGCTAGAACAAATGTTTTACCTTTTTGCGGGTTATTAAAAGGCACCAAAACATCTGATGACTGGTACATGAGATGCTTTGAGTAAAACTGTTAAAACAAAGGAGAAAAATTAGAGCAAAAGTAAAGCCTATGAGAGGAATTCTAAATGAATGTAATCATTAGAGTAGGTGAACATTATTTTGCAAGGAAGTCAAAATGATACGGTGAGCAGTTGGTTGACTTTGAAAATCACCAAAGCGAGCGTCTCATTTGGTTTCTGGGAGGCTGGGGCATTTGGGTGGGTGTCAAGGACCTGCCAGGTGCCTTGGTGGGCTATGCCCTGTGCTCTGGCCTGGCCTATGGCCTCAGGGTCTCAGGCACTTCCCTGTTCTCCAAGGGGTCTCTCAGCTTCTCTCCAAACTCATGCAAAGCTTATTAAACTCAGCTTTGGAATGTAAGTCAGCCACCAGAAATTGAAAGCACATGTGGGGCAGAACAGGAAGATGGGGGCTTGGGGGCTGGTGGTAGGTGAGTGAGAACGCTGGAGGCCCACAGCCATTCAAGCTGTGCCCTCCTGGGGATCCTTCTGCCCTGAGGGCCGTCTTAGGGGCTTTTCCTGTGGAAAGTTACTTCTCTGCATGTAAGAACTAAATGACATTACATCATTAATGAGCATTACACCTCCAAATGTTGAAGAATGTAAGGAATATCTTGTGTATCTGCATACAGTCAGAAGAGCTATTTGAATATATTCTGAAAAAATAAACTCTTGCAAGTCTAAGTCTAAAAGAACAGTCAGCAATTGGGTGAGACTTGAGTGTACATTTTAAACTTCTATTAACAAAGCCATACCATTTATTAAAAAGTCCCACTGAATAAAATTGATGCAGACAAAGCAGTAAAATGGCAAATCGAGCAATTTCCAGAGATGAAAGAAAACCTAGTCTTTTCAAAGATGACTGTAAGTGTGCTTCTGGAACTAGTCAGTGGCTTGGAAAGACCAGGGCTCTTGGGCCAAGGAAGACTGAGTACTCAGAGAAGTTCTGGGCTTTCTCCTGGGTGGTCAGACTCTGGGTAGGCTCTATATCTTCAAAGACAAAACTATAACAAAGGATGATAAGACAAGTGGTCACTCGAAAGTGAACATATAGAAATGTTTTTAAAACTCAGAGTTAATTAAAAACAAACTGTATTTACTATCACAGCTAAAAAACACACCTCTTCTCAATTCCTGCCAGTAACTTTGGCAGGCATGGTATTTGCTAGGTTTACCAGCTGAAGGAACAGAATCTAGAAGAGCCCTGGAGAGGGATGCAAGGATGGTACAACATTCGAAAATCATCAACATCATCCACCACATCAACAAAAAGAAAGACAAAAACCACATGATCATCTCCATAGATGCTGAAAAAGCATTTGACAAAATTCAACATCCATTTATGATAAAAACTCTCAGCAAAATGGGAATAGAGGGCAAGTACCTCAACATAATAAAGGCCATATATGATAAACCCACAGCCAGCATTATACTGAACAGC